GACAAGAGCTCCAGTCATTACGCCCTCCCAGGCAGTACTGCAGCCATTACACGCCAGCTTGTCTCGCCCAATCGCCTCAAACTGCTTTGGGAAAAAAAAAAAGAAAAAGATCCCTCCTTGGCTGCTACAAACCCTGCATCCTCCTCCTCCCATCTAACGGAAAAGCTGAATGATGGAAAAAGAAATCAGTCACCCAGTGGACCATTTTTTTAATTTTTTTTTTTTTGCCATGCACTCTTAATAGATGAGTGCTATAAAACCTCTTGGTGTCTTGTCCTGAGTGAGCTCTTATGTTAGGAACTTTTCACTTCTCCCTCCTCTTTGCTTTCTGGCTTTCCCTGCTGCCGCTGCATAACCCAGGGCCACCCTTAGAGGATTGTGATTCGTTGCTCCTCCAAAGCCGGGAGGGAGTTTCCACGTGTCGTCCACTGTGTCTGGGTGAGTGTGAGTCAGATGGTGCATGTGTGTGTTTGTGTGCGTGTGCTGCTGCTTTAAGACTATGAGCACTGGTGGACAGAATCCACTTTGAAAGTCAAGAGAGCACCAGTGTGATTTCTAGTTTGCGAGCTCTTCAAAGAGCTTCTAGATTAAAGCCTTTGCCACGGAGGTAAGCCATGTTATGGATTCTGTTTTATCTTTCTATCCCTTTGTTTCTGCTGTTTGGTGGATTAATGGGGAGCCAAGGTGTGGAGGTTGATTCCTATTGCTCAGCTGCACAGGTGTGGGTCCCTTTATGTGTTTGCTTGTGAATCCCCATTTAAATCTGCTAGGTAAGTTACATCTCTGGCCTACTTTCCTGTGGATCCTTCAGGATGCTGCTTTGTAGACACTGATATGCTAAAGTGACCTTTCACAGTCTCAGCCTTTATAACTTCTTTTGATACATTACAAGGTTTTTGGGATCTGTTGCCCCAAACACATTAATCTGAGGACAAAGTTCTATCTAGATGCATGGATGCATGGTTTAAACAGTTTGGAAACTTTAATTCTCTTCAGGTCGCTCTGAAACGAACATAGCATACGTGTATAAATCTCTGCCTGGGGGCTGCCATGTCACTCTTGGTCGGTAGCCAGCCACGGAGCCTCGAAATGCATAATGAGAAAGTCTGAAAAACACTTAACAAGCACTCTGATGGATGTTTAGTGGCTTCGCTGGATTCACCACACAGTAATATGAGCTTTCAGAGTGATTCATAGACAGACATTTCTACTCGTAAGCAAACAACTGTGTGATTTTTTAAGTCGTCTTCAGATGACAGAAACACAGCAGGAGATGGGATGTTCTTTTCTCCAGTTACACAGCTTTCCTTCACTTCCTGTTGTGGTTGTTTTCCTTTTTTTTTCTAGGTTTATAGTTGCAGAAGCAACTATAAACTATGGAACTTTAACAGCTTTGGTTTTGCAGCCCCTGAGAAAAGAGATAAGAGTCTCATGGGCTGTGATTTGACAGGAGGAAGGCAGCCCAATTCAGCCCCTACAAGCAGATGACCTCATAGCTATAACTCTGCAGTGCTGGAATAATCAACCTTACTGAGAATTTGTCACTTGCACTTTTCGTTTCTGAGCTTTTTTCTGCTAGGAAAAATACTTGCACTGTTTTTTTTGTTTTTTTTTTAAGGCAACAACTTAAAGCTCAAATAAGATTTGTAACATTCCTAAAACGTACCTGCAGTTTGTTGAAAAGAAAAATGGACAAACAGGATCATGATGCTTTTCTGGAGAAAAACCATGTGCAGGCTTATGTGATGCACCGTTCATGTGCAAGGTAATTTAAAGGACTTCACAGGAAAACAAAGAAATAAAGTTAAATCAAATAACTGAGTACACGAGAAGAAAGAAACTATAAAATACTAATTTAAAGCAGATTCATATTATGGTTAAATAAAAGTGACCCAAAAATTAAACCCACATTTGGTCTGATTTGTAATCCATAGTTCTGATTTGCTAAGTAAGATCTCAGCCAGTCCCATTTGCCTTTGAGGCATTGGAAATTAATTATTTGATGCTATTCAGGTATTGTACTGACAATCCTACCCGGATTTGTGTTTTGTATGAGAAATGTCAGGTCTAAAATACAAAATGAAGATATTGCAAAAAGACAAATTCAAATTGAGACTTTACTGAGCAAACTGTTTTGGAAATTCTCAAGAAATCTGGCGGGAACAGTAATATTTCATTTAAATTAGCCAAGTGTTTGCTACCCATTTAATTTATGGAAACACTGAGCTGGTTTCCATTGAAACCGTAGCACTTTTGTTGTGGTCCAGCTTCTTGCTTACAAGACACCATTGATTGGAGTCTCTGACACAGGCACTCTTTGGAAGCGGCTCTCAGAGTGGAACTTTTCAGAAACATTTTGACGAGGCGATAAAATTACAGCACCGTGTAGTTCTCTCGCATGACAGCTACAGGGAATTCAAGGTGTCTCTCGTCCAAACAGTGACACAGTTCCAGGTTTAGACCTGGAACTTTTCCCCAGTCATCATCCGAAAATACCGGCAGTTTCCAGACAGCGGTTTAAGTAGACAAAGCTTTAGAGAGTGGAAGGATTGTTGTAAACACATAAACTTGTGAATAAACACAACGCAAGATGTAATATTATGTAATCTGGGTAGATGGAATAAAAAGGATCTGAAGACGTAGCCTTAAGGAACCCCTCTTGAGGTCTTTGTTTGTCCAGATTTATATTTGCCAAGTTAGACAAGTGAAATCTGTTATGAACGCTAACTTGAGACTGGGTGTGTGTAAATGGTTTGGAGCTAAAACAAAGACCATTCAACATTATACTCCTCATTCTCATTTGGGTTTGTGTAAATAGTTTGAAGCTAAGCTTCTGTTTGACAAATACATGGTGGTCTTTAAGTAGGAAAAAGTCAGTTACATCCTTAACACTTAAAGCACCTTCTGTGTTTATGCCACACCAAGGTGTGGCCCATTCTTTTGCAGCATCCCTGTCTGGAGGCACTGTTAGACTAAACACAAGGCTTACGTAGGAGTCACCCAGGGGTGGTGTGAGAAGAATCCCCAGGTCAGAGGGTGTGCCGAGGGGCGCAAGAGTGGCAGTGGTCCCTTGGCCCCAGAGCAGATGGTCCTTAGCAAGCCTTTTTGATGAGAACAGAGGGCTGAAGGGAAAGAGGGAGGGTGAGTTCAAGGCTGGGCGCAGTGGTTTGCTGCTAAAAAGGAAAACGTGTCTCGCTTTCCCAGCGAAGTCACACAGTGCGCCAGTTCAACTCGCAGCAGACGGCGAACTTGTGCGTCTTAGGGGTTTGTGTGTTGGGATGGGATGGCTTTGAGCCTTTCATACTCGCTGGCCCGGTTTGGCTGAATAAACTTTGCAAGAAAAGCATCAGCAGTGGTCCTCAATGAAAGCGGTGACTGTGACAAGTTGGACAACTGGCTTTATGTTGACTCCTGGTGTCGTCGGCAGCTGCTTTCTCAGTCTTCATTTAACAGACAGAATTGTATGCTACTCTTTATTCGTGTAAAGGCATTTTAAAACCTTTGAAATGTTGGTACCAATCATATGATCTTCTGCCTGAATTAGGTTATTGCAAGATGGTGACATGTACGAAAAAGGGAGGTAAAGTTAGAAAATATCTCGTATTCCCCCGAATTAATAAAGGGAATTGAAATATTTACACCAAGACCTCCCATACAAAGTCAGTCCATATGTAGTTTAGCCTTTGGATTCATTGGCAATGTGGCTCCAGCAAGGGTGAAAATTATTGGTGTTTTATTGCTTTAATAAGTGGGTCCAGAATTATAGTTTGTCTTTCTCTCGGGATCAGCTCTACTTGACTTCAGTCTCTGCTGGTTTTGACTCGGTGAATGAAACCAGTGTTTAGCTAATCTTCCGATCAGCCCAGAATGACGGTTCAAGTTCATTAGGAGCCTTGAATGTCTGCAGCCAAGTTTCCACTGGACTATCAGGTGCTGCTCTCCATCGAAGCAGAAGGAGAAAGTCCTGGTGGCTCTTCTGGGCTTGTCCTTGAGCTTCAGGACCCCTTGCATATAAAATGCTGTGGATCCACATATGAACTGCACTCGTCACCAGCCCTGCCTTTACACTGCCAGCACTATTTGAATCTTGCTAAACAGTCCAGGTTTGTTCAAACAGAAGCAGTTAAACTCCTACCGCAGTGGTTCAGATCACTTAAGCCAGGAGTTTAGGACTTTTGGCAGGGGTATATTTACCCTGCAACCTTACACATGCTGTTCGTGTGTTGCGAAGCTCAGTGGCCTTCCCGCTATGTGTCTGAGGCTGTGCAGTTAGGTTACATTACACACAACATTCATGCTTCCTCAAGATGCCAAAAGGCGCTTCAGTGTCTCCACAAATATCGCTCCTCATTGCTTCCTATGCCCTGGATCGTGCTTTCAGACAAATTTGGCAATGAGGAGTGGGAGGGGGAAGAGAAAAAGAAAAAAAAAAAATCTAAGCTAGCGAGAGGAATCCAAGGTTTAAAAATAAACAAACGGTTAAACTGTAGCTGGCTTTGAAAAACCTTCCCGGACCTGATGAAAAGAGACGTCATTTACATGTGGGGAGGTGGAAAAATGCAACATATGTTTGATTTGGATGGATGATTAAGGAGAGTTGGATTTAGAAGGGAGGAGTGATTTTTATTTTTTTTTCATGCTGTAGGAAGTCTATCCTGAGATTCCTGGGTGAAATTCCATACACTTCTACATTACTGTGTGTTTTCTTTCAGGCAGAGCCTGAATATGTTTTTGCAAAGCTTTTTCCAAGTTTTATACCAGCAGCCTTAACCCCCCCGCCCCCCCGCCCCTTTTTTTATTTTTATTTTTTTAATTCATCTGCGGGACTGATTTATCTGTATGAACAGATGACAATGCCAAACATTGTCCTCATCAAAATGTAGAGGATTTGTTTTGATCTTTAGGTTACACACCTTTTATGAAGCTCAGAGCTCATTACACAAAGCAAATTACAGTGCAGCGGAAAGACTAATTCCTCTTCTTCTCTGTTTGTGTTCCAGGTTCCAGGTGAGCCACACAACCAAGGACTGAGTTAACTTTGGAAAATGAGGCACAGATAACTCTAAATTGTGAAGCAAGACTTTCTAAGTGGTGAGTTTTAACAACTTTTTGTCTTTCTTTTTTTTTTAATCAGCATGCATGTAATGATCTATGCTCCTTCCCCGTCCAGCTTATTTGTTTTTAATCTGCTTGGTGAGCTAAATTAAAGTCTTAAAGTCGACTGTAGGGGTTGATCTGCACCTGTTATGTAAGAGCAGTCTTCCTGCGATTCATGTTGTTCAGCTCTGTAATGTAATCTCAGTCTGGTCACGGCTCTGACTCTCCAATGAAAACATGCTTTGGACAGTGTGGAAGAGATTTCCTATTGTTCCGAGTATTGTCACCCATAACAACCATGACAGCCCAAAAGCCTATTTATCTCACAGAGGTTTTCTGTTTGGGAAAAAAAAAAAAAGGTTTAATGACCAGATGAGATAGAATTCGTTTAAAAGCATATGGAACATATTAGACACATAGCCGCTTTGCTGTGGAAACAGTCACTACATTTTGAATGTAGTCCTTGTCTGTGAGGTGTAGCCTTACGTTTTCAAGCAGGATTAGATTTACAGGTGCATCATAATAAGTGAGAGCATAATCAAAAAGTTTGTTTATTCCAGTAATTAAACAAAATCAATTGATGGAAGTGAAAAGTTGAATTGAAGGGAAAAAAAAAAAAAAAAATTTCCACGATGAACATAAACTTTGGACCACTGAACAGTCCAGCCCTTTTTTCCTTTACCTTGGCAGGAAACTTATGTTCTGCCAAAGACTGAATGAACTCGAGCAATGTTCTGTTTTCATCTGTGTTTGGTGACTCTCAAACATACAAAAAATTGCCTTGTTAATCTTCCGCAAACTCGTGGATAGTCTTTACTTCACAGTCTTCTCAAGGCTACTGTTATCATTCCGAATTGCGCTAATTTCCCCCCTTCCACTAAACTTTCCATTGCTATGCTTGAAACCCTCAGGCTTTGAACAGCAGACTTTTTCCAGTAATAACCTTTTGGCATATGACCGTCTACTGGTCAGCTATGAAGTCTGCTATTTTTCGATTGATTGTAAAGCACTTTTATATGATGTATTCTACTGTACAAAAATTTAAGTTTACCTCTTTGAATGGAGTTGCTAAAATCTCAATCATGTTCTAATTGACTGAGCTGCAGGTGTAAATGTCAATTATAGATTTGTATGCATTTCCCTTGCATTTAGTAAAGGTCACCTTTATGGTTTGTTTATTTGCTTTTCCAGTGCAGGATGGGGAATTCAGAGAGCCAGTACAGCATTGATGGTCCGAAAGGCACAAGCTTCATCTTCCCCAGGAAACAAAAACCGTATTCACTGAAACTCGGCTCAACCAAAGATGACGTTCTTTCCCCACACACGTGGTGGAGAAACGCCCCACTCGGCTCAGGGTACAAGGCGAAGTGTGTTGGTCGTGGTTGTTTGTCACCTCCTAAAAGCAGACACTCTTACTCAGCCCAACGCTGCGACTACATCTGCAAAGGAGCGAGGGGCAGCACCGAGCATCACTGGCATCGCTCGCCTGGATGCGGCATTCGAAGACGGCAATTGTCAGATGACTATGAAGAGAATCCGTACGGGGCTGAGCTCAATGGGCGCTCTCTGAACGGACACGGCGATGAGCAGGAGGTTCTGGAGGAACAGAGCAGCCCAAGGGTGGTGATCAAGAAGGATGGCACTCTCAGGGTGGAGTTCACAAACACCTCAGGAAGCCCCTTGCTCCTGGATGAGGCCTCTGGCCCAGTCCAGCTGCTCAAGTTCTCTCCAAATTTGGAGGCTACGTCCACTCCGAGCTTGCCGGGTTCCAGTGGCAGTAGGCAGGAGGCCCACCGGGGTGGACCACCACCAGCTTCTACCTCCTCCACTGCCAGGACTAGCAAGGGAAGCTCACTGAGCTCCGAAGGCTCCTGGTACGATTCCCCGTGGGGTCCCGGTGCAGAGCTATGTGATCAGGACCAACCATGCTGTACTAGCAGAACATTAGAGCATTCCCCTATACATCAGCTTGACTCCTTTGCAGAAAACCCTGCACCTTCATGTAGTTCAGAGCTCTACAGGGACTCCACAATGGCTGCCACTTTTCCTACAGCCAGCGAGTTGTCCTCCCAGTCACAGCAGCCTCCGTTGGGCCGAAGGCTGCATCGAGCTTCTCTTGCGTCTGTACTGGACGTGCCTTTGGTGGAAGAATGCGCAGAGCCACGGCAGTATTCATCGTTCACCTTGCCTTGTCGCAGGCCCAAAGCCCATACCATTAGTTCAAATATGGAGCAGTACCACAAGCCGACGCAGCAGCAGCAGCAGCAGCAGCAGCAGCAGCAGCGTAGGCACGACTTTTTCAATAAGAAAGACTCCATCAAAAACCGGATCAGACGCTTCAGTGACTGGACAGGCAGCCTCAGCCGGAAGAAGAAGAAATCTCAAGTGAGTTGGTCAATATTATTCTATTGAGAAATACACAATAGATTAGTTTCTTTTTCCCCCTGTTTTTGTGAAACTTTGACCTGCAGATGACGATTTTGTCCATTTCCTGAATTAGAAACTCAGAAGCAGCAGCATTAAAGTAGTTTTTTTTTTTTTTTTTTTTAGTCTTCCTGCTGAGTCGTCATTAATGATTTATTTTGAGAGCAGAGGCGTTGTCGTGTTGCATGTGAAAGAGAACTGTAATAAAGGGTTTGGCTGAATTGTGAAACAAAGATAAATTATTTAAAATAAATTGTTATATAAATTGATTACCAACTTATATTTTCAAAGATCAAACTTGCATACAACTTCAGTGCCCCTATAATATTTAACATGTCTATCTTATCTTATGAGCCTTCTTCACTTAGTAAATGCTCATGAAGGTGTTGTAGTGAGGATGATTTAAGGATAAAAAATAAAAAAAAAAGGTTGGATTTCTGAGTTTCCATTCGGCCTTTCATCATTCTGTTCCAGTCGAGCTGAAAATTGTCTGAGCATTGTCTGATTTCTGATTTCTAATTGGATTTTTAGTTGTATTGTTTTGTTTTTCTTTTCTTTTCATGTTTATGTCAGCCATAGACTAAAGGCTGACATAAACATGTTCTTATAAACATATTTTTGCTTCATAATTAATAAGATTAATATGATTGCTAGATTGCAAGAGTCACATTAATGCAGAGGATAAGATTAAGACATGATGTCAGACGGGTGATATTTCCGTCCACCCTGTAACTGTCCATATTTTTCTCCTTTTCCAAATATTTGACTGTCTGTCTTGTAAGTGAGGCCATCTATCAGTCACCTGATTAGTTGGTGAGTGCTGTGGTACTCTGTGTCACCAAACAGCTGGAGAAAACTCTGATTACTCCATCGCTTTCTCAATGAAAGGACTTTAAACCACAGTAACAGTGTATTAAAAGATTTTAGCACATTTGAAACTGATTTTATAATCTTGGTTGTGGCTTGATACACCAAGTCAGCTCTGACTGTTGCATTGTTTCCACACGTTTCGTGAGTTCTTTTTTTTTTTCTGCATGCTGGCCGCACGTGTAAGCTGTAAGTTTGTTAATTTGGCTCTTTTGTATATGGGTGAGCTAGGTTTTTCTTGAGACAGGTTCAAAGATATTCCACTAGATATGATTTCCCTCGGGTAATATGATCCTTGGACTGCACACGCACTGATCAGAACCTGTATTAGAAAGAACCACAGTTTGTCTTCATGTTTCACGCACTTGTCGGGAGTTGTGCGATTTTTCTTGGCCAGTCTGCAGCTTTACTAGCTGCAATTTGACCCAGAAGGTTTGTTTAAACCGAGCCTGCACCCTTGTCCTTCGTCTCTTCGTCTTCGCAGCTTGAGAGCAATTGTTTTTACTTTAATTCGTTTTGGCTTTGCCTTGTAAATGTTTTAAGAACGCTGCTTGGGCTCTGCCTGAAGGATAGCTGTAAGCCTTTGAGACGCTCTGCAGAGTGAAACTAAATCCTTAGCTAAAGATTTAACCCCACCCGGCCTTTAATGTTAATGAAGGAGCTGTGGTTGTTCCAGTTGTTGTGCACAGATTTCCGGGACTCCCCTCATAGTCTTTGTAGGAAATATCTGCTAATAGGGATTTGTGCTTAATCACTGAATTTTGCTTCAGAACAAATAAGACTGGACTCATTATAATATTCATAAAGTGTTCTGAGTGTTTTTAGAATATGTGAGCTTCTCTTTACGCTCAAACAGCAGTGACTTTGCACTACAACATTAAACCTTTCCAGACTAAACACATTTATTCTGCTGCTAAATGTTCTATTGTCCAGCATGTGTTAAATTCATGATCAGGTGTCGACGCTTAACCTCTAGACTTTCTTCTCTTTCCAAAGAAAATGTTTGTATCAGCCAGAAATCCTCTCGAGAAAAACAAAAGAATAAATCTACAGCTGATCTGCTTTATTACAGGGCGGGTTAGATGCTTAACATAATTCAACGTGAGAAAATTCACACGAGTTAAACAGGGGGAGACGCTTACTTTGAGATGCAAGGACTCTAAGCAAGTTTTTGTTGGAGTTGGTCAAGTTTCTCTCCGTGGTATACGTCCTAATTTTCCCAGGACTTATTTTGCTGCTGCTGGTATCGGGAGCACCTCATCTGCTAACCCCCCTACCACCTTTTCCTCTAGGTAGAGGTCACACTCTGACCCTGATGCCAAAAACCGAGAACCTGCTTGTAATGAAAAGCAGCTGCAGGGTTAGAAAGTTAACAGCAGGGCATCTGGGCTGAATCAATGCAAGAAAAGTATGAAAATCTTGGGGAAAGATTCTATTCTCTGAACCACATGTTATTACAAGTTGGGGAAAATATGATTAAAAATCCCCCAAAAATGTCAGGTTCTCTAAATTCACAGTTGTGGTTCTTAACCAGAAAGAGGTGGATTTCGCCACACTGGTTGTGAATCTTTCTGTCCCACAAGCAGAGGTGTTCAGTTGTCTTGGATTCTTGCTAAGAGTCGATGGTGTCACGTTACTGTTTATCAGAAGATTTGGAGATATAATGTCATAAGAAAATGTCCGTCTGTCCTGGTGAAGAAAAATCAAAAGACTTTGTTGAACTGGTAAAAAGTGGTTTCTCACCACCACTTTCCCCTGTGGTGGTGAGAGATGGATCATGACTGGAAGAACACGATCCTGGTTGCCATCCTGTAGACCCAGTGTGAGACTGGCCCAGAATCACATACATAGACGGCATAATGCATTGGGATCCATGAGAATGAGATGGGTAGTGTTGATAGGCAGAGTAATGTCCCCGGACCTGTTACTCACCGCTTGGAAACTGTACTTTTATGAATGGATATAGAAAGAAACCCCAGATCAACATAAAACGTGACTATGACAAAGATAACATGCTTAGAACTGAGCTTGACACATAAAAAAAAAAAAAACTAAAACCCAAAACTGAATTCTGCCACGACGGCACATGCTGGGTTCCTGCTTGCTGAGAACGCTGCACTCTGCTGTCAGGAGCAGAATCGATGCTGCAATCTAGTCAAGTGTCAGTAGACTGTCATCAAGGATGAAAAGGAGGCATTTCCATCAAGTGTTCATTTTTGGAGCTTGAGAAGCCACATAAGACCACAAATGATGTAAAATTGTTTGACGCAGAAGGGATCCAAACTCCCAGACGTCTTCGCTGGAGATTTATTCTACTTTCTCTGCTGTAATTTAGTGACTTCGAAGTAGTTTTGAGCTAGACTACTAAATACTAACTAATTTGTTTTATACGACTTTTGGGCTGAGTGAAAAGAGAATATTTAAATACGGTTCCATCTGTCTGTATACATGGTTGCGAACTGGTTGCATTTTCTTTCCATATAGTTGGGAATTCTCGGAATCAGCCGAGCACTTAAAAAAAAAAAAAAAAAAAAAAAAAAAATTCTTTTGATTTTTTTTTACCAGCAAAAGGAAATTTTCTAAAACAAAAAAACTTTGTTCACCCAA